GCCCATTATAACAATTGTAGCATTAACCTGTAGATTGAATAGAAATTTGGGAGAGGCAGAAGTATAATTCTAGTAAATTAAGTCATCTCTTTTTTTAAAACAATTTTCATATATAGTCTAACCTGATATTAGTATTATATTGTTATGAAATTAAAGCACAAAATAAGAACATTATTATTTATTTGGTAAATAAAATAGTGAATGTGGCAGAAGGTCATTACAAGAAGTTATTGCAGGGTTATAATATGATCATAAATCACCCAATTGTTAGGATTCACAGTGTGCATATTCATTTAAAATACAGACACATAAGTATTTATGTTCACATACCAACAGGTAGTTATTAAACTTTCAAAAGGTTATGATAAAAACAATCTATAAATAAAGTTAAATGTAAAAAAACTTACCACACAACATAGATTAATACTCTAATAGTTACTTAGTTTTAAATACTAATCTGTATGTACTGTCCGATGGAAATATAATGCAAGTCATATATGTAAATTATCCCAGATAATATGATTCCAGCCTGTAATCATTATAATAAATAGTAATCAAAAGTTTTATGTATTTTCAAACTAAGATTTTGAATTAGGGTTTTTAATCTGAGAGCATGTCTCAATTAGAATTGGCCACAATTGAAGTAATTTGTGGCTATGGTATGCATCACTCAGTATTAGACAAATGAAGGAAGCAATGGTGGAAATAAAAACACTCAATTTCAGGTAGCTTGCAATATAATGGAGTAAATTATGTATATATATATATAATTTAGACATATAAAATGAAGCATTATAACATTAAAACAAAAAGAAATTTGTGAAAATAAAAACTAAGAGACAAATTCCAATAAAAGGGATCATGCATGTTTTGTAAGTCAGACTCCAAGTTGAGTCATAGCATAAAATTATTTTTTTCTTCATAGAAGAAATTTCATATTCTTTGACAGTTAGGTCAAAAGTGATTATATTCAATCAATATAATTTGGTGAAAATGAGAGAAGTCACAATTACCTCTTTCATTCTTATCTCTTAGATAATACTAAGCATGTGATTTGGGCTGATTGAATTTTTGAGTACCTTCTCTGTGTATCTGTGATGCTTTGATCTAGCACATGTAGTTTATTATTGAATGCCATCTTGGTAATCAGAACTTGTTACTTTCTTCTATTATAAAACTGGCTTCCTGCTTCCATCCCTTACCATGTAACTATGGATTCTACCACTGGGAAGTAGAGTGTTTTTTTTTTTTTTCCTAATAATTTGAATCTTGGTTAGTCTTCATTTATTTTGGCCAGTGTTAAGGAAGTAACTATCCGTTTCCCAGCCAGACCTCAAGAAATGGAATGCTTCCACTCACTCACTCGATAGACTATCTCCATCATGGGACCAAGACAAATGAACCTGTTAGAGAACAAGACATGATGTGTACCAATCAAGGATCACCTACCAGTGGGCAGAAAACCAGGCTAGTACATCTGCTCTATTGACTCATAGGTTTGTGAACAAATGAGATGCTTATTATTCACCAAATACAGATTGTGATTATTATTCAACAATGCCCAGCAGCTATTCTGACCATGATTTCTTCTATTTCTCACCCAAAAGCTTTCAATAAGTATGCGGTGGTGACCCCTCTGGAGACACAAAAGATGAGAAATCTCTGAAGTAATTAACACTTGAACTTTTCTAATGCAGTACAATTATTTTTAGTCTGTTACCACAGTGACTTTTTATTTGCCATCTAAACAGCAAATAAACATGATGTTGTAACTTTTCATAATTTTTTTCTCTCCTACCAAAAAATAGACTCACATTTAGAAGAAATATGTTCTAGAATAGCTATTAATCCAATAATACCAACAAACTCAAAATTTCTTAATCAAAAAACACTTTGGAAAATATTGTTCTAAACTGATTAAGTACATAAAGCATTTATATTTATCTTATTAAATTATTCTGCTTGACTTTTTCTCTGAAGATAAAGTTGTACCTTCTATCTACTTAGCTTTCCAAAGCCTCCACTATACCCTTTTCAGTCCAGATAGAGTGAAAGAAAAATGAAAATATCAGTATATTATCAATAGTATAGGCTGTTCTCATCAGATCTTTTTTATTACTGTATTGATGCATAAATAATGCAATATTTTTTCACATAAAGTTGAAGAAGATTTGTAATTTCGAAATAAGGATTGCTGAAATATGTCTTATTTCTTAGGTATTAAGAAAAGAATAGACATATAGTAATATATATTCCTAAAGAAAAAAAGAACAGTTAATTTTAAAGATTCACTTGACTATTAGAAGAATTGTCTGGATTATGGTCCAAGCTCTTCCAGTATATATGTGACCTTGGGTTGTTTCCACTTTCTAGATTATCTCTTAAATCACTTTTAATTGCAAATGTTATTATTCTCCAGGGGCTCAGTATTACGATTCTAACAATTCCATGTCCATATTCATCCATTCTCCACTGGGTTATTCACCATTCTCTTGCCATGTAATTGACTTTCATATGCTATTAAGTAGATATGAAATAATGGTTTACTAAAACAATTGGTCACACACATTTGCCTCTATCTATCGTCTGGATCTGCCAGAAATCCTTTATCCTATTTTCTACTTGCAGAAATTCAAGCCTGCCTTCAAGGTTGAAGGAATTGGAATCTGCCCCAACCTGAACAAAGCAAAAACATGACATCAGATATAGGAATCCCATTTTAGGGAAGAAATTAATTTAAATGAAAGCAAATTAAAGTGGGGCCACGGACCCCCAGGTTGGGATCTTTCAGAGGCTGGGCCATGTCAATCACCTTGTCTTTGCTGGAATGAGAAGCTGGAGGATATTCAATGTTTGACCAGGGTCCTAAAACCCTTGCTTTTATACCTCCTCTCTTTCTTCCTCCTTCTTTCCCTACTTTATTAAAAGAAACTCTCAAGTGAGCCTAAAAATTTGTCCACGTACCATCCTAAAAGGCAGATTCCCTATATTAAATTTTCTTGTCATTCGCCATACATACAAATGAGCAATTTCTTGCAATTACAGTATGTTGTTACTCATCTAAATATAAATATTTACAACTGTCAAAAATTGTGAAACACTTATATAGTTAAGAGAAAGCATAAAGGCTGACTGCTGTGGGAAACTGTAATGGCTGGAGATTGTAATCATTGATAATTCCTTCAGATGTATTTACACTTCCTAAGACCTCTCTGAAGTTCCCTGTCCCTTTTTAGCGTCTGTGTCCCAATTTATAAATAAAACAAAGCCAAAAAAAATGTTTTGGGGATGGATATCATCATTCACCCCTTAATTTTGAAAACAAAAGTTTAAAAATAGGCTTGAAGGTATTTATTTGAAAATAAATTCTCACAGTTGTTAAACTTTTGAAATCACATATCACAAATGCTGATTCTTTATGTGATCTCCTATGGGTGCCTCTGTATGTTTGTTTCTTATTTTCATTATTATTTATCACTTACTATGTTTTGGTACTCCTTGGAGAATGTACAGGCAAATAGGACATTAATCCTTTTTCCTAGAAAAGAATACTCAAAAAATTCAACATGGCGGGGGGGCTCCCTGGTGGCCTACAGGTTAAGTCTCAGGACTGTCATTGCTAAGGTCTGAGTTTGATCCCTGGCCAGGGAGCTGACCCACATACGGAGCAGCAGACCTCTCCTGTCTCACCTGCAGCTTCCCATACCAGTACACTTCAGTGAATCTGCCTGTTCTACTTCCCAATCTGTGGGAAGATTGGGTCCTCTTACCCCACCCCCTGCAAATCTGACCTGCACCCTGGTTCTTCTCTGCAAATATGAATAAATAAATCTTTAAAATAAAACAAAATTCAACATGAGATGTATAATGGTGTATACGGAACAATCCAAGCAAGAGATGACATAGCTATTTGGAGGATTTGGCTTTGGTATACTAACGTGCTTATGTGTATGTATAGGGTTCCATTCAGATACTCCCTGGAGAGTGAGGCTGTATCATTTTTAGCTGTGGGATCTTGAGAGTATTTGCAATCTCTGTTGATATTTTTACAAATGCAAAATTGAAATAATATAATACAATGTGTACCTCATTGTGTGAATTAAACGGTCATATAGAATACAGAGGAGAAAACAGAAATAGAGAATAGAAGCATAGTAATATTATCTCTATAAATTCAGAATCATGGGCCTCCCCGGTGGCGCAGCGGTTGAGCGCTGGGTTGCGAAATTGCCCGCAGCCTCTGCAGCGCCAGTTCGATCCCCGGCTGCTCCCCGGCTACCGGAGGAAGGTCCCACATGGCGCGCAGACCTCTCCTGCCACCTGCTGCTCCCCTCAGCAGTGTACTTCGGTCCTTCTGCCTGCTCTGCTCCCTGCTCTGGCTCTGGTGAATTCTCTCACCCTCCTGCACTTCTGACTGTACCCAGTGCTTGTATAAATAAATAAATAAACAAACAAACAAATAAATAAATAAATCTTAAAAAAATTCAGAATCATGCCTTATATCTTACAGGTGCTTCATAAACTTGGTTGGATTAACAATATTAATTGTTTCAATGTAGAGAGATTAACGCATGATATCAAGATTTACCTGGTTCTGAGCCCGAAGGCCACAGACTCAATCACTGTGAGCCATACACAAGTCTTGTCTACTGTCAAAATATTCTGAGTTGCATTTTCTTTATTTTTAAAATGAGAGATATAATAATACCTGCCTCACGGCTCTGGGGAAGATTTAGGCAATCTTATTAATGCAGAACTCTGCATAATTCCTAATACAAAATACTATACTAAATGTATGGCAGTAAATATTATAATGATTTAATTAGATTTTCCAAGAATTGACCCATGTGCCCTTGCTGAATTTTGTGTTACATAATATGGAAGAACCGGCTGGTGCTATTTATTTTTATTATTATTTTTATTTCTCATCTAACCTGTATTTTTCACTTTTTGTTTTTAAAAATATGTAGCCTATAAATTGTGCCTTTTTGTTGCCAGGAGAGACATCAGTGGCACCCAAGCAAACCTGGGAAAGCAGTGGAGACTTCCACTCCCCGGGAGATCCTGAGGACCAACTCTCCTTACCAGTCTCCTGATTGTTCACCTTCCTTCAGCTTTGGCGGCTGGCGTCCCCAGGTAGTTCTAAGGAGTCTGAACCTGTCCCATCCTGGTTTATTTCTTGCTTCCCCCAAACCACCCACCACAATTTGTTCTCTCTCCTCAGAGCAAACTACCCATTCATCTCAGGTAAATATATACATACCGGTCTCTCTCTTACCAATACAGAAAATCAGAACTTTTACTTCCCTTCTCAGAAAACTGAGCATGTTTCAATAAGCAGGCTAGAAATGGAAAAGGCATGGCATTTTACATGAAATTTTGAAATTTAATTATCTTTTTTCAGTCAATTCCAAAGCAGGAGTCAGAGGGTCAGAATTTTGATGAAAGGAAAACTAGGTATCCCTTGCAGTAAAGAAATCTGTCGTTAAAAGTAGGTTTTGTGAAAATAAACCATGTTTGATTGGAAGTAAGTATTTAATTCATCTATCTAAAAGACAATTCTATTGAATAAAAACATATTTTAATTGTATGACATTCCATGTTTGTGACAATATTATCTCAAGCAAGAATTTAATTGTCTCCATGTATCCAAATAAAATACATTAGTTGACTTAAGTAAATTGCTTTTCTCGCTACAGAATGTCAGGCCAAGGTTATTAATGAAACAAGAAGTCTGGGGGAAGTGATAATATTAATGTAAAAGCAAATGCATTGATCTCTTCAACTTTTCACAAACGGAAAATCACTAAATCCTACTCATTCATCACTCTTGCATCAGTTTCCTTCTTTTTAAAATTTATCATTAAGTTCATTTGAAGAAAAGCAAAACCTTTCATCTGCAGTGATGTATTAGACTACCCATCCCTGTTAGGTTAAAAGCTCTACCTTCCCTCTCAAGGTATAAGATCATCAGACATTGTCTCTACTAAAGGGAATTATTTTTGCTTTCTTATTACCCTTATAACAGGGATAGTATTTTAATTTTAAACTCACTGTGATGAAAAGAATCTTTGTAATCTGGGATGGAAAATTAGCAAAAGTCCCCAGATAAGCCATGTGATGTGAACACAAGGCATCTATAACATGTAGTCATGCTACTGATATTAACACAGTCCCTGACTCAGCAATGCCCCCTAAATTAACACTGTGTGTGTCTGAAAAAAAGAAAAACAAACAAACAAACAAAAAAACAAATCACATTTCTGTCTGAATTAGCGAAAAGGATATATAGGGATTTAATGACCCTTGGCACCATAAAATTTTCACAAATTTATCCCAAAATTTAAAATGTATTCACACATTATATTAATACTTTAAAAAACATATAAATACAAACACCGTTAGAATTGAAAACATAGATCGAAATTTGGCTTAGGATGCCCTCTGACACTAAGGAGGTGATACCTAACTTTAACAGGCAGAAAGCAAGCAATATTGTTTCTAAACATTCCAGAAGAAATGTATCCGGAGATTTAGCTACCTTTGCTATCAAGAAATTCATAGTTATATCTCACCTACTCCTTGACAGTGTGCCTACTTTTTAATTCCCACTGAAGAATTAAAGCACAAGTTACTTCTATAAAACAAGGCCCCGTGTATTTGAAGACATCTATAAAATAATTCTCAGATTTCTTTTCTCCAGGTTATGGTTTCCCTTGCATGCTTGGTCATTAGAGGATCCTGCAGGGCTGATTATAAATAGACTCTCTCAGGTCTCTAACCATAGCTGAAAGAATCAATTTTCAGAATAAGAGCCTAATCATCTGAATTAAAAAAAACAACAACAACAACAACAAAAAACAACCAAACACTCCAAGTTTATCTAATGACTTAACATGTTTATAAACTTCTCAGTAAGAAATCTTTTTGGTCAATAAAGTAATCTCTAATAATAGCATAGGAAAATCTATTTGAAGGTATTGAACACAATGAAATTGTAAAAAAAACAAAAATTAGGATGGAATAAGGCCAAATATCTAAAGGAAAACAATCACCAAATGTAGGTTTTCTTTTGAAATACTCTTAAATTACCTAAGAAGCTCCATTTAAGAATTGAGATGTTAAAAAAAAAAATTGAGATGTTTCTGCATTATTTACTTTTATTAATTATTTTATTATTATAAAGTATGTGTATGTTATGGAAGTTTGAATATTTTTAATAAGACAGATAAGAAATAAAATTCAGCTACAACTCAAATTATTGACATCTTGGTTTGTAGTTTTCTACTTGAGTCAATGACTATGCATTTAAAAAAATGAGATATTTCTATATCTATAATTATAAATTCCGTTTTTAATTTAATAAAACATGTTCAACTTTTTCTTCATACTTTCATACCTTCAAATATTCTTTCAACTTAAAAATTTACTAGCTGTACATCCTTACCTATTAAGTTGATGAAAAAAATATTTAAAAATATCAAAATTTGTCATGTTTTTCTTGAGTTTTGTTTTGTTTTGTTTTTCTGAATAGTGTTTGCTCAATATTGCATAGCTAGCTCTTTTAATATATCAAGGACCATTTATTTGCTACATTTCCCTTGAAATTTCCAATTTGTCCTTAGAAATCTTATCTGGGCTTATTTTCAACAGCTTTTTATCAACATATCCATTTTCCACATACCCTTGGCCAATACTTAGTATTAAGATTTGTTTGTAGAGACACACTACAGTGGAGAGCGGGGGAGGTGAAGAGGGATTAGGGTCAGAATTAGGGGGGTGGGAATTGTATGGGGAATATAACCAAAATGAAAATGCATACATTGTGCAAAAATGAAAAATGATGTAAGACTTATATAAAATAAAATAATTTAATAAAAAAAGAAAAAAAATATTTACTTGTATAATTTTCCCCCTTTACATTTTATAAGTTGGAATGCCACGCAAAAACATGGAATATATAAATAAATTTGAAACATAATTTCTATGCTTCAGATAAGACTAAAAAGCAGGACAATTATCTATTTCTTTAGGATTTAAAAAAAGCATTCTACCATAAAATTAATGAGAATTATACATAAAAGAGTGTAATATATAAGAATATTGTTACATTTGGATTTATAGTAGGTAAGTTTTAGCCATTTAGTTCCCTTGTTTTTGTCATATTTGAAATTTTTTAGTATAATTATCAACATAGTAACAGCTTTTAACTTTTCCACTTTTCTAATTTGAGTACATAACGTTTTAATTTTTTTATAATGTGAAGTTCTTTATTTTCTTTTTTATTGAATTATAATTTGCAGGGGTTTTTCTATTATGACAACCTTAAAAAATACTGCTTGTACTTACCCATCAGTTCTTCTGAATTTTTGTTATTGCTTTTATACATAAAACTATAAATTCCCACTAAATATTATTTTGTTGGTTTTCCCATATTTTAGCATTTGGTATTTTCATTAAATTTTTAGTTATATAATTATGAAATATAAGAAATTATAAGAAAAATTATTTAGGACTGTCTGGTTGGCAACACCATCCAACTCTCTGAGTTGTAGACTCTGAGTAGGGTGTCAAAACCCCTTTTTCAGATGAACACATTTTCATAAAATGAAGTCTATTTTTGCCATGAAACTGTATTTATATAGATTTGCTCAATTGAACTATTTTTAAAAAGTTACTCTTTCCAGATGCAGTTTTTTATATGAACCTTAATTTCATTTTCTTTGGGGTTGTGCGTTCCTTCTTAGTTACATCTGCGTACATATTTTATAAGGAAATTGAGAAAAGTTTTATCCAAATTTACTATCCAGGTGACATTTTTAGTGTAAAAAAATTGCTGTTGTTTAAACAAATGTGAAGCCATCGTCCTTTTAATTTCTACCATCATTCCATGTTTTCCCAATAAGTAATAGTTTATAACTTGAGATAGCTGATTGATTATGTACTGTTTCAATTTAGCTGACTGACAAGTAGAATTCAGTATCATCAGTGTGTGTCAAAAGCTTAAGTTTTATCGTAATCAGAAGGTATTGCTTTTGAAGAACTATTAATAAATCATCTAATTCTTAAGTCTTCAATAAAGGCAGCTTTTGACTGTTCTATCTTTTTCTGATAGTTTTCCTTTAAGCTGTAGCTTTCCATCTTATAACTGAGATCTTTTTCCCCTTTCTTATCAATTTCTATTCCATTTGCTTCTGACCACTGCCTCTATATGAAGTCATTTTCAATCTATGTGTAGACATGTTGAGGACATTATTCTTATTTTCAGATGCCAAGATACTGACTTTTGATTGAAGGTCCAAGTCATAACAAGTCAGAAAACATTATGTACTATAATTTTCTTGGCTCAGAATCAAGTATGTTTTGCATAACAGCTCTATTCTAGCTACAAATATGTTAAAGCACTTTCTATTTAACTTTCTTAAATTAACTAAATCAATTTGATATCAGAATGTTTGTCCTCCATCAAAATGGTAGAAATTTTAGATGCATACAAAAGTCACCCAGACAGTCCTGGAGCAAAAGGGATCCACAGAAGTGAGGACACAATTGAAAATGATTCCTTTGCTAAAACTACCTGATAACTAGAGAGAGTGTATAGTCATCAAGCGACAAAATATTCAACAAACTTTCATTTAGCGGATGTGACAATTACCTGTAACATTGTTACGACATACTTTTGATTGTAAAAAAAAGTCTCATTTTAAATATTTGTAAAGCCAGTCAGTTGAAAGGTCATAGGATAAGTCACCCCCTCCATTAAATAGTCCATCTATATTTAGTTGAATGTCACTGTGTTGCATAATTCTCCTTCCATCACACAGAACTGAACCAACCCAACACCTACCAGATTATGGGTGCTGTGGTGGTGGGAGAACTGTGGTGACCACACCTGAGATAAGAAAGCTTATAGTGTGAAAAAAAGTAAACAAGGATGCAAAATAATGGTAGTTTAACAAATATATATATATATAATATATGTGCGTATATATATATATATATATATATATATATATATATATATATGTAAAAGAAATCTAAAGTGGTCTCCTTGAGCTAAAATGGAGGTGTCCACTAGGCTGTGTTTGTTTTGGAGACTCTAGAGGAGAATTTATGTGCTTACCTTTTTCTAGCTT